GGCCGGTCCGTGAAAATATTGTCTGATATTAAACCAGTCCGTGGCGCAAAAAAGGTTTGGGACCGCTGACCTAGATGACAGCAAAGCAAGTGGAAGGTCAGTGGTTAATATATTGGACTAATGATAGCACTGCCAAACAGCCACTGCTGTTAACCCCTTAACTGCTCAGTTGTACATACTGTATAAACTAGATAGATGTTTTTGTCTTCTGTAAGTCACTCTGGATAACGGTGTCTGCTAAATGTCACATTTTTAAATGAACTATCTGCAGCCGATTCTTTGAACATATGGGCAGCTGTGGCTCAGGTGGTAGAGCGGGTTGTCCACTAATCGTAGGCTTGGAGGTTAGATTCCTGGCCCACGTGACTCAACATGCCTGTGTCCTTGGGCACTGAACCCCAAATTGCTACTGATGGCAAGTTAGCACCTTGCATGGCAGCTCTGCTACCATTGGTGTGTGAGAGTGTGTGTGAATGGGTGAATGAGACACAGTGCAAAGCGCTTTGGACAAAAGCACTCTATAAGTGCAGACCATTAACATAACACATGACACTTTTAGTCTCTCAAGCATTTGTTGCATTAGAAACATTTTAGCCCAGATTCAAAATGCCATTAAAACTAAATGTGATGATTAATTCTGCAACTTAGATTGTTGATATATACAGTATGTATTAGGTCAATATTTTGACAACAGCATTTACCAAGATGTCATAATGGGCGGGGTATTCAGTAATCTGCATATGACACACCCTGAATTCATGCACATGCACAAAGTCACCATCAACGGAACAACCTTACAGAACAACCACCACTTACATGAGTCTAATGAGGACTCAAGAAAATCTGCTCTTTTAGTATTTGTCCAGAAGGGTCCTGAGGTTCTCTCAGGACTCCATGATATTTGGTACTAATGATAGATATTTGTTATTTTATAATGAAAACTCTATGTACTGTAGTATGCTTGTTGTGTATATATAAAAGTCTGTAGTACTGATCTCTATTACACAAGTGATCTAATCATCAACAGCAAAATACACCAATATAATCACAGATATAGGGTGCTTTGCTTTGTTAATGACAAGTAAATGAGCATGAGGAAAAAAAAACACCACTGATGCCGAAGATCACACATGAATTACTAACATCATTAGCATTTTGTCAGATTTTAACAGTGATATCGAATCAGCATTTAAAAACTGCATCTTGTAGATCTGTTTCTAATTTCTCTCTCCATATTCAAACAGATATGAGCCTGCTTGTGTATGAATGAAACACCAAAATGGCCGCTGAGTGTACGGGCATTAGCCTTTTCTTGACTGTTCCCATCATGTGCACATTAATCAATGTTCCAGTCAACACACCTCCACTGATTTCACAGCTCAGGTTTCTAAAATTACATTCAACTATTTTCATCTCTTTTGTTCACAAAAAGTACTGAAACACGTTTAGTTCTTGCTGTACTGATTGTTCCCTGGCTTTATTAGATCAGACTGTTCAACTCATCAGACATAATGGACCCACACACACAAAAAAAAACCATCTATCACTTTTGACAACTTTAGTCCAACAGCATGTTAAGAGCTGCTTCCTAACTAGTAATTTAACAACGTGTTCTAAAGAAAAAGCTGTTCTCTGAAGGTAGTAGTACACTGTGCTTCTGAGAACATGTGCTCCTGGGTAATGTCAACCCACAGCGTACACTGGAATGAGTTTGGGAGATGTGTATGAAGAAATAGTTGAACATGTGAAATGAAGTGACTTAAAATGCTTTAACAAGTTTGGTATTCACAACTCATTTTTATTTAATCACCATTTTTAATATCATAACAGTTTGCTAAAACAGTACCTCAAGTCTACAGACAAACTTCACGCTTGGGTTTTAAAGCATTGTATTTTTCCAAATATACCCAAGATACTAAAGTAACACCACCATTGAAAGTGCTTCTAACTTTCATAAATGGTTTGGAGTGGGAGTTAAAAAAAATTGTCATTCATCATGTTTAGCTATTATCAACGCTGAATTAGCAAACATTGGCCTCTAAAACATAAATTAAAATACGCTGTGATAAAAACCATAGCCTACTTATAACACCGGGACACTACTTTGCTGCTTCTTTGCTGTTTCTCTTAGTCTCTCTGACTAAGCCAATTGTATCTAACTATTGTATGGGTGGGGAATTTGTATATGACACACCCACTGCTTATCACAAGGTGCATATGGTCACGATCAGTGCAACAACCTCACAGAAACAACCACTATTTACATAAATGTACATACTTCTTAGCTAAAGTTACTCTTTTAGTATTTTTCTAGCAGGTTCTTGAAAAGCGTAGTATCCCACAAGTGGATTTAATAATAGATAAGAGAAAATAGCATACTGTAATTACGTTGCTCAACATTGTGGTTGTGATACTTTGAAACACATTAGAAAAAACGTACTACGGCAAAACCACACTTCAAGGTAATAAATAGCAATAATCCATCCATATCTATCCATCCAAACACCATGAAAGGGTGTTTCCAACCCATCGCAGGGCCAATCAGCTTACAACACACGTCTTTGGAGAAGAAACCGGAGCACCCGGAGGAAACCCCAAAGCACAGTGAGAACATGTAAATCCCACTACACACAAGGTAGCAGTGGGATTTAAGCGCTCGACCCCAGAGGTGTGAGGCACACATGCTAAACACTAAGCCACCGTGCCCTCTAAATAGTAATAATAGTAATAGTAAATGCCATTAATCTAGCCGGCTTCATTATATTACACCATGCTAACACCCTCAGATGAATCATCTGGAGCTTCTAAGTGGTCAGAATGCTTGAAGTGCACATTAAAATAACTGCAATTTATTATAGCGTTCATTTATATAGTGCTGCAATATCAGTATTGCACAAGAAAATAAAGTAAGAAAATCTGTATCCTGTGTTTCTATATTTCTGTAAAGCTGCTTTGAGACAGTGTCCATTGTTAAAAGCACAATACAAATACAGTTGAATTGAGAACAAACTACGTATCCGTGCTGTTCTAGTGGGCGGGGCATGTGATAATTTGCATATGATACACCCACAGTGTGTCACTGTCATACATGATCACCATCCATGCAGTAACCTTACAGAACAACCACCACTTCTGCAAGATGGGTAGATTTATAGGAAGAGGTGCACTTCTAAAATTTGTAGCAGTAGATGCTTTAGTTTCTGAGGAATTCTAATATACAGACTCCAAAATTAATCCTTCAGTTTCTCACATGCACTATTTTTAGTAAGTGCTTTTATTATTAGCAGATCCTAGACAGACATTTCAGACATTTTATTATTATTAATAGAGAAAGTGGAAAAACGTTTAACCATAGTGTATCATATGTTTAATTCACAGTCCAAAGTATTTAAAAAAATACCAGAAATATTCTAAATCTTTTCAAATAGCATCTGAGATTTACTGGCAGAAATTAATCTAGCCTGCTGTACCGCGCTGCAGTATGCTTATAGGAAAACGTGCTTTTGAGTTCCTCAGGAGCTCAGCAGGAGTCTGTAGCCTTCATAATAACGCTGTATGTTCTGAGACGACCCGGGCAGCAGGGTGCAGCTCGGTAATGGAACAGCGTTCATTTACAGGTTTCGACCGCAGCCATGAATTTGAGCTTTGTGTTCGGGTTTAGAAAGTGACATTTCCAGACAAGAAGCGTTTCATTTGGCTTGTGACTGAATCCTGTTTGGTTTAATTACATAAGGAAGGAGTGAGTGGGGAGAGAGTGCCAGGATGAGACCAGCCAAGTGGTGAGGTAGAAACTAGGGTATGTCATAATGTGCTTTTCTGAGAAATCTTTTTAGTAAAAAAATAAAATAAAAAAGAATATTATAATCTGACTAGAAGCACCTGACTTGATGTTTAAATTTAGCTTTTAATCTATAAAATTTTCAAATGTAATTTTGTGTGTGTTAAATATAATTTATTAATTTATTTATTATAAATAAATGTATTTTTGTAGATATTAAATGGCTTCCTGGCAGTTTGTTGGCAAACCTATCCTGTATATCATGATACATGTCTATATGTGTGGAAATCTCTTAGAAACTAATATCTACTGTAAAATAGGCACCATCGTGGTTATTATCAGTAATGTTATATAACACTGATCCATTTGAAATCACAGTAACAAGTATCTGATTAGATGATTTTCTGAATCAAATATCGAAAAAAAAATCATAGTTTTACAGCTTCTTAGACATTTACGAGAGCATATAAGATCCGAAATCGAAAATATTAAAACGATGCCATGAGGGTCAAATCTCCAAGTAAAGCAAAATCAACGGTGCAGGCCATTTCAGCTTGTAATTTAGAAAGGAATCCTAATCTGTGACAAAACAAAAAAGTTTAGAGCTGCATTAAGAGCTTCTTTCACATGCGCATCAGTAACTGACCAGCAGGAAAGTAAAGAGAAGCACTCAAACGAGTGACGTCACTGAGAAAGGCCAGCGGGGGTGCATGGGAAAAACCTGCATGGGGGGGTTAAAAGTGTCGAGCCCAGCTGTGTGCCTCAATGTACTAAAGGCCTGGTGGTGCAAACAGGCCATGAGCCAGCCAATCACAGCGTCTGTGCAGGAGGCACCCCGTATACATACGCTAATAAGGCTCTCACCCTGTGCCCGGTCAGTGTAGATAAAAGGGGATGGTTCGTTGATCGCTCTGAAGCATTTTGACTCATGCTGTTACTTTAATAGATAATAAATTAGGCATCTAATTTAAAAAAAAAATTTTTTTAAAAAGACATGAGTGTTATCACATCAAAAGATTTGGCCTACATGAATTACAGTACAAAAAGGGTCATGTTAAATAAAGCATAACACATAAGAGTGACAGATGGAGAGAGTCTAGCCTAGGACAACATGTTTTAAGATGATTATTTAATAGGAGAATAAATTGAGCTGAGCATATGCTACTTTGGAAAAAAATTTCATTTAAAAACAATAAGAAAGAAAATGTGACAAAGGAGAGGGGGCACGGTGGATTAGTGGTTAGCACGTTTGTCTCGCATCTCCAGGATGGGGGTTTCGAATCCCACCTCTGCCATTTGTGTACAGAGTTTGCATGTTCTCACTGTGCTATGGGGGTTTCCTACAACAGTCCAGCTTCAAAAAACGTCCACAGTGTGTGAATGTGTATGTGGTTGGCATCCCGTCCAGGGTGTCCCCTGCCTTGTGCCCCAAGTTACCTGGGATAGACTCCAGAGACTGCAGGCTCCCCTTTGACTGTGTGTGGGATAAGCAGTATGGAAAGTGAATGGATGGATGTGACAAAGGAGCAATGCTAATCTCTGCTTGTAACGAATAAAACTGGCGCAATCTAATTAGACAGGTCGCTGTGGTGGCAATATCATAATTGAAGACATTTACACAATATATTTTGTTTTGTTAACAGAGTGCCAACAGAGTACACTACAATAGTGTAGTATGTATCTAAATCAATAAATAAATAAATAAATACATTTAAAAACATGGTTTCAATGTTTTTTGGGGTTTTTTTTAGTACAGGATATCTTGGAAAAGTGTACTCTAATATAATTGATCTCAATATTAATCTTACAGTGTCCTCCAGAATGATTGGCACCCTTTACAGAAATGAGGAACCATTTTTATTAAAAATAATAATAATAATTCTCACTAAATTAGAATTTCCACTCAAGTAATAAGATCAACTATTTCTGTGTTCGAACAAAAATACATTCTTATAAAAATAAATAAATAAAAATCTTATTACAAATACTCTCTTAAATAATAGTATTTACCTTATAAATTACACGTGCCTGAATTATTGATACCCCTAAAGAAGATTTTAAATAAAAACAAGCAAATAGCTATATTGGATTTTACACACATCTAAAATCTATCTGCAGTCGGTGAGTTTGGGGGAAAAACAGATGGTTGTTGACCCGCAAAAATCAGGTAATGGATATAAAAATACATAAGCAGTGGAAAAACACCATTAAGTATTAGGTATAACCAGGGCTGTCCCCGTGACCCTGTATGAGACGTGGTATAGAAAATGGATGGATGGATAAAACCGGGGCTGTAAAGTTTGACACGTGTCTGAAACATTTGGAAATTGGACTCGGGAGAACAGTGTTCACCCACATGCTGAGGAGGATGGTTATAATTGCACGGTTTGGCTGTCATTGTCAAGTTTCAAAAGGCTGCTTTCATAACAACAAGCTAAGGGAATGTTGCAAGAAAGAAGCCCTTTCTGAGACTCAAAAAACAGCATCAAGTATCTCTACAAGCACACCTGGCATCGTATGTTGTAGTCAGATGAGACGAGAACGAGACTCTATTTTAAAGGGTGGCAATAATTGTGGAGGACACGTTAAAAATTCACGTTTTGAGTGGTGACCAAAGATGCTGCCAAAGATATGCCGCTGTCTTTAGCAACCTTGTTATTTTTCTCTGTTTTCTCCTTATCTACTGGAAACATCTTCCCTTTCCTTGTGTGGTGCATGACGGGACATTTAGTCTGAAGTACCCACTGATCTACATGTCGTTTGTTTTTTAAATATAGTCAAATCGGTTTTTCGCACTATGAACTCGCTAGGTAGTTATGCATACTCAACAATCGTCTAAAATAGTGCATAAGATTGTAATCTGAGACACGGCCAGCATCTCCGTCCCAAAGGTACTTCAGAGGCTGAGTGTGATCATTACAGAACCACAGGAAATCCCAACATTCATCAGTGCATAAGAAACCTGACCCATAAGCAAGACAGTGAATCAGAAATGACATTTTAAATGTAAGTCAGATGACAGTTCAATGGACAGCCCGTGTCGAAAAAAAAAGGCCCTATAGTGATTCAGAAAAAATACCCTTGATTGGAAAAGAAAAAAAACAACGCACTTTCTTTCCCCGATGAGATTACAATCAAAGATCACTGTTGAGCAACACTGAAAACCACACGTTTACAGAAAGCTTTCCAGACCTTGTTACATCTCTCATTAAGCCTTAACATGACTTAAGTTTTTCGGCCATAAGCAGGTTGCAGTGCAGAGCTGCCAGGGACAGAGCTTTACGTAACCAGAGACAAAGTAAAATCTGCACGTTGCTATAAACCAGTCTAATAATGAAGCAGCAAAAGCCAAGAATGCCTCTTCTGCATTATTTCTGAGCCTGTACACACACTGCTTTCTGTACACAGATGTTTCTGTACTCAGAAGCTTCCATTAAGAGGTCTGTTTGCTCTGAACTGGAAAGAGAGGCAAAATCGGTCATGTGGCCATCAGATGAGGAGAGAGAGGATTTTTCCCTCTGAAACTCTGAAACTACATCCGCAGCAAAGAGAGTCGTGCACCGGGACAGACAGTCAGACCTGCACCGACAGAGCTGGCTTTGTGGAGCTTTTCAGTGGGAGTTAGAGCACTTCCTTGCCCCTACGCAGTGTGGGAGGAAGGGAAAAGCAGAATGAGAGCTGCTCTCAATGTTCTAGCAAACGTCACAGGCTTGGCCAGAGGACAGAGAGAAAGTGTGCTTGTGTAATGACAGAAAAAAGAAGAAAAAACGAGGAAGAAGAACAAGAAGTGGAATCCAAGGTCTGCTCGCAGATCACTTCTTCTACAAAAGAGTTCTATTCTATAGCCATGTAAAATCCGTGAGGATGGGATGTGTGCAGTTGAAAGCATATCTTGTGTTTTTGATTAAAAGGTGCATTCCTGAGCTTTGGATTGAGATTCTGGGTCTAAAACAGATCCTGCACAAACTGTAATTAGAAATGGGGCTTCAATCAGTTCGAGATGCACATGGGCCCAGCTTAAAACTGAGACACATTAAGTCTGTTTATCCTTCTTTTGCTACTGTAAACATCTCGAGCACCTGCATGTGTGCGTGTTTATGTCTGTGTGGCTGTGTGGATGCAGTCTAGTCCTGGGAAATGTACGCAATGCACGTTTTGCACAAAAACACACATAATAAATTTACGATCTTTTGTGCAACAAGATGTCGCCTTGGTTATTATTTCACGGGCAAAATGACATAGCCATCGAACTAACTGAAATAGCTAAAGTGATCAGGGTTTCCCACCAGTATGAAACCAGTATATGCAGTACGACTATTCTACTATGTCAAATTTACTGCATTGTATTAAACCTGTTGAATTCTCGATTCTGATTGGTTGATTCATTTCTTTTAACAGCAGCTCGGACAGTAGAGCCTGCTTCAGTTCAAATCACAGGTTTATACAGTAAAACATCTTGACCAGCTTGTTCTTCTATACTGGAATAACAATACTCGTGTTGTTGCTGTTGTTGACATGGCTAGGGTCTCTGCTACAAGATGTTTATTTAACATTTTTAGAAGGGGTCTCCAGTGTCACAGCTTCATAACAGCCAGAGGTAAAGAAGTGCTCTGACTTACGCAAGTCTTAAGGGGGGAGGGGTTTGTGCTTCTTCCTCTTTCTCTACAAGCTGCAACTTCGTTTGGTTTTGGCAGCTTGAAAACAGAAAGCGCGGTTGATGACGAAATGACGATTGATATCAGCTTATAGCTGCTGTAACGCAAGTGGAAACAGGAACTAACTTGATTCATGGGCATTCCACAACATTAACTTAGGATCTGATGTTATTATATGAAATGAACAATGATTCAATATTTGGTATTATATTATATAGTGTGTGTACACAAATGTTCACGACGTATATAAATCACGTTTATACACCACATATTCCTAAATTTCCTTATTTGATACGAAAGTGATGTGTGTGTGTGTATATATATATATATACAGTGGTGTGAAAAAGTGTTTGCCCCCTTCCTCATTTCCTGTTCCTTTGCATGTTTGTCACACTTAAGTGTTTCGGAACATCAAACCAATTTAAACAATAGTCAAGGACAATACAAGTAAACACAAAATGCAATTTGTAAATGAAGGTGTTTATTATTAAAGGTGAAAAAAAATCCAAACCATCATTGCCCTGTGTGAAAAAGTGATTGCCCCCTTTGTTAAAACATACTATAACTGTGGTTGTCCACACCTGGGTTCAATTTCTCTAGCCACACCCAGGCCTGATTATTGCCACACCTGTTCACAATCAAGGCATCACTTAAATAGGAGCTGCTTGACACAGTAAGGTCCACCAGAAGATCCTTAAAAGCTACACATCATGCCGAGACCCAAAGAAATTCAGGAACAATTGAGAAAGAAAGTAATTGAGATCTATCAGTCTGGAAAGGGTTATAAAGCCATTTCCAAAGCTTTGGGAATCCAGCGAACCACAGTGAGAGCCATTATCCACAAATGGCGAAGACATGGAACAGTGGTGAACCTTCCCAGGAGTGGCCGGCCGCCCAAAATTACCCCAAGAGCGCAGCGACGACTCATCCAAGAGGTCACAAAAGACCCCACAACAACATCCAAAGAACTGCAGGCCTCACTTGCCTCAGTTAAGGTCAGCGTTCATGCCTCCACCATCAGGAAAAGACTGGGCAAAAATGGCCTGCATGGCAGAGTTCCAAGGAGAAAACCACTGCTGAGCAAAAAGAACATCAAAGCTCGTCTCAATTTCTGCACAACACATCTTGATGATCCCCAAGACTTTTGGGACAACATTCTGTGGACCGATGAGACAAAAGTGGAACTCTTTGGAAGGTGTGTGTCCAAGTATATCTGGCGTAGAAGGAACACTGCATTTCATAAAAAGAACATTATACCAACAGTAAAATATGGTGGTGGTAGTGTGATGGTCTGGGGCTGTTTTGCTGCTTCAGGACCTGGAAGACTTGCCGTGATAAAAGGAACTATGAATTCTGCTGTCTACCAAGAGATCCTGAAGGAGAATGTCCGACCATCTGTTCGGTGTACTCAAGCTGAAACGAACTTGGGTTCTGCCGCAGGACAATGATCCTAAACACACCAGCAAGTCCACCACCGAATGGCTGAAGAAAAAAAATGAAGACTTTGGAGTGGCCTAGCCAAAGTCCTGACCTGAATCCTATTGAGATGTTGTGGTATGACCTTAAAAAGGCCGTTCATGCTCGAAAACCCTCTAATGTAACTGAATTAGGACAATTCTGCAAAGATGAGTGGGCCAAAA